GTGGGAAGCTGCTATATCACTACAAGCTGCTATATCACTACATTGCTATCATTATACTCCCTTGGATTCTCTGCGCGGCAGGTGGGGGCCCTAAATAACAATAAGGTAGGGGGGCACCTAATGTCCTTCCCCCTGGCCCACACCCCTGAGCGGTGGGTGGGGCCATAAATAAAAATGGGGGGGAACCTAATGTCCTCCCCCCCCATCCCCCACCTCTGCGCGGTCGGATGGGGGCCCTAAATAACAATATGGGGGGGAGACTTACCATTTGATGTCTTCTTATTTTATAAAATCTCTTTTCAGCCCCAAAAAAGCCAAATAAAAATCCAAAATAACAGATGCACTTAAAAATAATAATAATAATCCTTCAACCATGGAGGGCTTCACGCAGACTGAGCTCTGCAGGGCGGGGCAACTAGGCTCAGAGCACTCTGATTGGTGGGTTTAAGCCATCCAATCAGAGTGCTCTGACAGGGGGCCGGGGGGAGGACATTAGGTCTGTCCTTCGTCGTCCCGCCCCAAATTTTTTTTATTTATAGGAGAGGACCGTAGGGCCCCCACCCGCCGTGGGGGGACATTAGGTGTCCCCCCCTATTGTTAATTAGGGCCCCCACCCACCGCTCAGGGGTGGGGGTCGGGGGGGAAGACAGTAGTTCACCCTCTCCACATTTTTATTTAGGGCCCCCATCTGTCGCACAGGGGTGGGGGCAATAGGTTTTTTTTTTTTTTTACCACTGGCTGCTCACTTTTTACTAGACACGCCCCCTACTCGCGGTATAGTGAGTAGGTGCTGAATTTACTAATACTAAGTAATTTTTTATTAGTATTAGTAAATGTGGCTGAAAGACCAATTTAGGTGACCAATTTAGGTCTTTCAGCCTTTTGATAACTCCCTAATTCACACGGTTTTAGGGAGCTATCTACCAAGCGGCTGCTTATTTTATGTTATTTTTAAGTGATTTTACTTAATTTTGCAGCCCTCTAGCCCTTTCCAGGAGTTTTTTAGAGCCATTTTTGTTGGCAAAAGTTCGGGTCCCCATTCACTTCAATGGGATTCGGGGTCAAGTTCAAGCCCGAACCCGGTGTCACGGTAGTTTACCTCCTACACGCAAGATTTAGTTCAACAATCGACAGAGCAGATACGACTTACCGGACCTTAGAATGGCCGGGATCGCCGAATATGGCAGAGAATAGACAGAGTCAAGAACAAGCCGAGGTCAAGGGAACAAAGAGACTGCGAGAACAAAAACTAGCCAAGGTCTGGTACACAAAAGTCCGTAAGCCGGCAAACAAGACAAAACAGGGATAGAGAGATAAACGGAGTCAGATACAAAGCCAAGGTCAAGCACGAAAATCACAACAAGTGCTAAAGGGAACTGAAACAGAAACCACGATAGGGCAGGGAGTTAAGGGAGAGGTAAGTATAAATACCCTAAACTTTACTTTGATTGGCCCCTGTCATATCCACGCCCCCAAAATGTGAGTGTCTGGGGAATGTGGGATGGCAGGGGCCAATGGGAGCACATTTCATCTTTTGGCTCCCACGGCCCCTTTAAGAGCGTGCCCGAGACGCGGCACGCTCTTAGAGCTAGGCGGGACACGTGACCGCATCTCGCGGTCCATGCCCGCCTTCATTCGAGAGCCGTGCGCGGCCCCCAGGTAAGGTAAGTACCGCTACAGTACCCCCCCGAAGACACGCCCAGCAGGCAGGAAAACGAGAATGGAAGGAACGCACAAGGCGAGGAGCATGAACAGCGTCAGCAGAAAGCCAACTGCGTTCCTCAGGCCCATAACCCTTCCAATGCACCAGGTACTGGAGTCGACCCCTGAGAAAACGAGAGTTAAGTGCAGCAGCTACTTCGAATTCCTCATGACCCTCCACAGAAACAGGAGGAGGAACATGCTGGGTATAGCGGTTACACAGGAGGGGCTTCAACAAGGAGGTGTGAAAGATGTTAGGAATACGCAGGTTCTTAGGAAGATCCAAGGCATATGAAACAGGATTAACTCTATGCAAAATACGGAAAGGATCTATAAAACGTGGGGCCAACTTCATAGAAGGCACACGAAGGCGGATATTGCGAGTGGAAAGCCAAACCCTGTCCCCCACGACATAGGACGGAGCAGCCCTGCGATGTTTGTCAGCTTGAACCTTTTGGCGAGCAGCTCCCAAGTAGTACGTAAACCAGTCAAATGTTCATCCAGAACTGGCATGCCCTGTAAGGAGAATGCAGCTGGAAGAACAACAGGATGCCGGCCATAAACAACGTAGAAAGGGCTTTTACCGGAAGATTCATGAGCAGCGTTATTATGAGCAAATTCAGCCCAAGGAAGCAGGTCAGCCCAATTGTTCTGATAGTGGGATACGAAACAACGAAGATACTGCTCTAGGGACTGGTTGGCACGTTCAGCAGCTCCATTAGACTGGGGGTGGTAAGCGGAGGAAAACGAGAGAGAAATACCCATCTCTGAACAAAAAGCTCTCCGGAATCTGGAAATGAATTGACTACCCCTATCGGATACAATAGATATAGGAATGCCATGCAGCCGAAACAGCTCCCTGGTGAAGATAGAAGCAAGTTCCTTGGATGAGGGCAATTTGACAAGAGACACAAAATGAGCCATCTTAGAAAATCGATCCACTATCATCAGGATGACTGTTTTGCCATTCGAAGAAGGCAATTCAACAATGATAGATTGGACCAAGGCCTCTCGGGTATGGGCAACGGGTGCAACAATCCACAAGCAACTCTATGAGAAGACTTCATACTGGCACAAGTAGTACATGCCCGAACGTAATCGGTGATATCCTTGCATAAGGAAGCCCACCAAAAATATTTAGAAACTGCTGTTAAGGTTTTAGAAACCCCAGGATGTCCAGCAGTTTTGGCGTCATGATATAACGACATAATGTCCCGTCTTTCGGGAACATCAACAAACAGTTTATCAGTAGGTTTCTCACTGGGTGCCATGTTTTGTTTAGCCTGTATAACTTGTAAGAGTGAAGAAGAAATAGATAGAACCGTAGTAGCTATTATTCTGTCCGGGGGAATGACAGGGGTATTATCTCTTGTTTGTCAGTAGTTTCACCTGGTCTGTAGGTGATGATATAATTGAAATGAGATAAGAAGAGTGACCACCTGGCCTGCCTAGAAGACAATCTTTTGGCTTCACTAAGGTAGGAAAGGTTTTTGTGTTCCGTAAAATTGAGGATGGGGTCCTTAGTACCTTCTAAAAGATGTTTCCACTCCTTGAGTGCTAAAACAATAGCAAGGAGTTCTCGATTGCCTATGTCATAGTTCTTTTCAGCTTTGGACATCTGTTTGGAAAAGAAGCCACAAGGATGTAATGGCTTATCAGGTGATTCTCTTTGAGATAAGACAGCACCTACCCCAATATCCGAAGCATCAACTTCAAGAATATAAGGCAAAGAAGGGACGGGATGCTGTAAAATAGGAGCAGAGGCAAACGTGGTTTTAAGAAATTCAAAGGCCTCAAACGCCTCTGGGGACCAGACACGAGTATTGCCATCCTTTTTAGTCATGCGTATTATAGGCGCTACAATAGTAGAAAATCCTTTAATAAAGCGTCTATAATAGTTAGAAAACCGAAGAAAACGCTAATTGGCTTTTATTCCCTGAGGTAAAGGCCATTCCATGACAGCAGAAAGCTTCTGGGGATCCATACGAAAACCTTTAGCAGAAATTACATAACCTAAAAACTGTACTTCGGATTGGTCAAATAAACTTTTTTCTAGTTTACAATAAAGACCATTAACAAGAAGGGTTTTGAAGACTGTTTTAACATGCATGAGATGGGTACGTAAATCTGTTGAATATATTAATATGTCGTCCAAGTACACTATGACAAATGAGTGAATGAACTCTTGGCAGGTTTCACTCCAAGATACTATTTGTCCTGACTCCCAGTCAAAAATGGGATTGTGAGAACGTAACCATGGGTACCCTAACACGATGTGAGAGGAAGGAGAGGTGATGACCTGAAACCGAATGGTTTCTGAGTGTAACATCCCTGTATACATATGCAACGGTTCAGTTTCATGTGTGATAACTGGGGAGCATAATGGTCTACCATCTATGGCCTCAACGGCCATGGGTGTCTTCTTCTCTCTAATGGGTATTTTGTTTTTCCTAACAAATCTAGATTTTAGGAAATTCTCAGCTACCCCGGAATCAACCACGGCTAGTATGTTTCTTGCTATGCAATTATTCTCCAGATGCAGATAAACAGGGAGAAGTAGTCAATTAAGAGGCAATTTGGGGGACTCAGATATCACACCCAAGGCCAGTCCCCTATATGGCCTTAGGTGCGATAGTTTTCCGGAAGCACGGGACATTCTTTTAGCATATGACCCTTCTTACCACAGTATAGGCAAAGTCCCTCCTTTCTCCTATACAATTTTTCAGCATTAGAGAGTTTGGCAACCCCTAATTGCATGGGTTCCTCCTCTGATACCTTGAAACTCTCAGGATTAGCAACTCTAGGAGTATTTAATTTAACAAAACGTCTATTCCTATTCTTAGTATAGAGTCTGTCACGAATCCTGTTGTCTATATCAATGATATAGTCGATAAGGTCCTCTAATGGGATAGAAAGATCCCTAGCTGCTACCTCATCCAATATAGCATCAGATAGTCCTTCCATGAATGCTGTAGTTAGCCCATTGTTGGTCCAATCTACCTGCGAAGCAAGGGTACGAAACTGAATAGCATAATCAGCAACAGACCTAGAACCCTGTTTAATTCTCATTAATGCCCTGGCGGCATTCTTTGACCTTTTAGTTGTGTCAAAGCAGGGCTCGAGTCCTGCAGGAACGCATGGGAACGGCGTTCCCGCACTTTTTCCAAAGCAGGAACGCCGTTCCCGTTACCTGTCCTGCAGGACCGGCCCTGCTACCTGCACAGAGGGGCCATCACACGCTGTGTTCCCTCTCCAGCTATAACTCTCGCGAGACCCGCGGCTGTTACCATGGCAACGCTCCGCACAGGCGAGTCTCGCGAGAGTTAGAGCTGGAGAGGGAACACAGCGTGTGATGGCCCCTCTGTGCAGCGGCTGGCTCCCTCCAGCATACCACCAGGCGATCTCCCCCCTCCCTGACAAGGTAAGAAGCAGGGAGGGGGGAATAAAATAAAAAAAAAATATAGACACATAAAGTAAGAAAATGCTTACCCCCCCCCCCACATCATCCAGCACTCACTCACACACCCATCATCCAGCACTCACACACCCATCATCCAGCACTCACTCACCCATCATCCAGCACCCACACACACACATCATCCAGCACTCACTCACACACCCATCATCCAGCACTCACTCACACACCCATCATCCAACACTCACACACCCATCATCCAGCACTCACTCACACACCCATCATCCAGCACTCACACACCCATCATCCAGCACCCACACACACATCATCCAGCACTCACTCACACACCCATCATCCAGCACTCAC